GACATTGCCTAAGAAAATGAAGCACTGTCTTTTTATGTGGTGTGAAACATCCCACCCATTCCCTAATCAAATATTAAAACATGTCAATGCTTAATATCACTTCAAATGTCTTGAGTGAATCTAGAAATTGCCAGTGAATTTTGATTAAACAGAAATTCCTACTGAAATATCAGCAGGAAAGACTATGGCTATTGGCTGTGTAATTAGACCTTCCTGTCCAGGGAATGCCAAGTGAAATGTAAGCATCAGTTTCCATACTTGATGGGTTGTCAGCTGCTAGACCAGAAGCTGCAGGGCTGTAGATGTAGGTAGAAATGGTGATAACAATTATTATCTTCTTGGTGTTCACTGATGATCCACTTTTTCTCTTTATGTGTAGTCTGCAGCAATGAAAGAAGGTTGTCTTTAATGATTTTGCCTGTGCAGGAGAACAGAACATGTATTCATATAGAGATTCCAGAAATTAAATGTATTGTGAAGTCACTTTTTTTGTGTAGAAGCAGCACGGTAACATCCTTGATTATCTTTCCCTGCTAAGGGCTATACTTCAACTCTGAAGTATGGGAAAAATCATTTCCATCTAACGGATGGAAAGATATTCGCCATGTTCCTGAAGCAGAAAATTTGTATCACAGAAATACACAGATTTCTCTCGTGTATGTGTGTGCAAACACATACACACTTGAAGAATTGAGTCACAGAATCAAAGAATAGTTGGGAGTGGAAGGGACCTAAAAGATCACCTAGATCCAACACCCCATGTATGGGCAGGGACACCTTCCACTAGATCAGGCTGCTCAGAGCCCCATCTAACCTACCCTAACTTCCAGGGAGGGGGCAAACAGAACTTCCCTGGGCAACCTGTGCCAGTGTCTCACCACCCTCACAGGAAATAATTTTTTTCCTGATGTCTAACCTAAATCTTCCCTCTTTCAGTTTTAAGCCATTACCCCTTGTCCTCTCACTACACACCCTTGTAAACAGTCCCTCCCCAGCTTTCCTGTAGCCCCCTCCCTTCAGGTACTGGAAGGCTGCTATACAGTCTCTCTTGAGCCTCTTCTTTTCCAGGCTGAACAGCCCCAGCTCTCTCAGCCTGTATTCATAGGCCTCTGAGATGATGGCGCTACTTTGGAGACTTTCTCCGGGAGCTTCATCTCCTTCTTTTGTTAGGGGCTCCAGAACAGAGTATGCAAAAATTATTCTAGCAGTTCAGGATGGGAACTTCCCAGTACGGCTGACAAATCCAGATAGAATTTTAGTCAGACAATATTAATTCTCCTTTAAACACAATAAGTAGTCAGCTGGATTAAAAATAATTTTTTGTTTTATTTGGACAAAGGCACACAGGCTTTATTGTTAGACTAAACATGAACCTTTTACCTGCAATGGCAAGAATCTCAACATAATTTTAAATCTGATATCACCAATAATATCACAACTAGTCAATGTTCAAAACTAAAATGGATATTTAGCTATTTATAGTTTAATTATGCTTCAATTTTTAAATGCATAAATGGGTATTTAAAAAAATTACTCCACATTATTACGACACTATTTTCAGAGGAAAACCCAACTAACACAAATTTTCCAGAACAAAAAAATCATAATGAGCCCTGAACAAGAACAGTTACACCAGAAATCCAGAAATAAAAGCAAAAGGGTTAAATGAACAAGGTAGTTTACATCTGTTACAGTACAAGGAGAAGTGATAGATGGATATTTGCTAGAGTAAGTAGATATACTTGGAAGATCATGAATGCTACTAAAATATGCAAAAGTCCTTTTTGTCCTGGATATGTTTTGTCCTAAATAAAAGCTTAATAACTGAAATGGAAATGCTGGTGTCAACACCTTATGCTGGTACTGACAACAGAGTGACTGGCTTGGAACAGATCTGTAGTGACCTTCTATGTCAAATTAAACCAAAAGATCCAGAATTAATTTGTTTCTTTTTTAACAAAACTTTAAAGTATAATCCTTAGCTCCTCAGTCTCAGCAGCTACCGGCACCAGTAGGAATTACTGGGTTTTTAAAGTCATGGCTTGCAATGGTAATTTATTCAAATAAAATATTTCTTATTAAGAATGTCAGATGTTTATGGTCATTAATACTGATGCAAATGGACCAAATCAACTGACATCTTCATAAAGGGTCTAAGCCCAAGAAATACTGACACTCAGGCATGTGTTAATGGCACCCATAGTTATTACTCGTATTTGTTTCCCATTATTACCTTTCCTCCTGGCTACTAATACTGATTTGTTTCAATTCAAGTTGGAAATAGCCACAGCGACCTTACAGAAAACAATAACATAGCTGGAATCACTGTAACTCTACTCTCCTAGCAAAATGTTAAAAGGTAATTGGACCTCCAATATTCCTTTTGGTCTCTCTTATGGTAGCAGGTTTCCAAGCTGTAATGATACCAGGCAAGTTGCAAAGAGCTTTGATGTAAATTACTCAGTTGCTTCCAGGATACTAAAACTCCTGTATCTTTCATAGTACTTATGCCAATCACAAATCTTTCCATAGCTAATTCTCAGTACAGCTGAATAGAAGAAGAATCATTAGGTTACACTTCAGTCTTTGGAGATCACCGATTTCCTTCTTGTTACCCTCTTTTTTCACTCCATCTCTCAAATTCAGAGCCAATACAACACAAATAATTTATCTCCAAATGTGGAAACATAAATCCGGTAGTTAACTATGAAAAATTTTGCTTTAAAGACAGAAATAAAACCACTCATTTGCAAATACAGACAGTTAATGTACATATCAAGTAACACTGAACTTAAACATGGGCATTTATTTATTTAAATTTTCCTTTTTTGGAAAGGAAATTTTGAATTTCCTTGTGAAAGTCACCAACACTAAATCGCATGATTGAGAGCAACTGAGGTGTTGGACTGGTGAGGATGTGAACATGGGTTAGTGCATTGCTGGTAAGGTAGCTATTTTAACACCTTCAAATCACCTAAGATAAAAATTTATTCCATGTTTGAACTTGAGTATAATGGTACCCTGCTTAAATAAGAAGATAATGGCAAGTACTTACTAGATTGGTCTTAATATATCTTTTTTCCTAGAGTCTACTAAACTTCTCCAAAAAGCCTGATAATGTAAGTGATAATGAATTGGTACTGACATACTTTTTCCCAAAAAGCCATCTAAACATTCCAAAATGTTAGAGTAAGTGTTATGCTTCAAGGTACAATCTGTGGGAAGTTTTAAAACCATGAGGAATTCTGCATTTTTACAATAATACAAAACAACAATAGCGTCCTGATGTACTTCTATCTGTGAGTTCCCAACAGTTCCTTCGCTCACATGTTATGTGTGAAGTTTTCAAATACTTGGAAATTTCTTTTGCCAGTACCTCCTCAATCTAGGGTATTAGAAGTTATTCTGCCCAATATTCCTGTCAGCTACATGTCCACGTTGAAAAAGAAATCCTAATTTTGGGGTTTCTGCTCCTAAGTTTTAGCCAATACACTGGGAAACCAAGAAGAGATAATATGACAAGTAACTCTTACTTATGCTCTTTGCTGTTGTTCTTTGGTTTAAAATGTATGTGAAATACAGTTTATTAAATAGCTCATTTAAGTCTTCGTATTAATATGTGTGTTCTGTATTAACTCCTTAGTGATGCTTCAAAAAGTCTGACATCCCATGCCACAGACAGGTATGTGTATTTCCTACCTAGTAGACAGAGAAGAAAATCACATCTTCTTCCAGAGAGTTTCATATTTATTCAGAAGGCATACATCTCAACTGATTACATTTTTAATTTCATGAGACTGAAAAATTAAGGGACTTCTCACTGTTTGAATAATATTAAAAGCAATATTCACTGGTGTATATCATAGTTCAGAGGGTCTATACAAACTCCCCATATCATTTAAACCCCTGAGTAAAGGTTTTAAATGGTGTCCCATGGGATTTCATCCACTGTGAAGAAAAACATCCTGGAATGTAAGTGTCTTGAAAAATACTTTAAAGCTTTACAATTTCCTCCTCATTAGAATACAGAAATGCAAAATAACCTATTCTAGATCCAAAACAATCCAAGGTGAAACAATAATACCTGGATTTGAAATTGAAGAAATTCCTACAGTCATTAAATAAGCATCATTAAAACAATCTGCAGATCTGAAAAGGTGAACGTTATACATTAAAGTTGCCTTTAAGTTTTAAGGTAAAAAAAATCTATATGCATGCAACTTTCTTACACCAAACTTCAAATATTCAAAAAAAAAAAGCCTAGACTCTGAAATGTTTTCACTTCTAGTGTTCTGACTCAAATGACATATACATTGATTCTGATCAGGAATGAAAAATGTGCTGTATTAAAGGTGAAATAAAGTACATAAAATTTTAGCCTAACAAGAACTTCGGGAAGAGAACTGTTAATTGAGATCTGTGGTTAATGTCAAATGGAAATTCTGTCTACTTATAGAAGAATCAGTACACAGTCACAACTGGATTGCAATATCTAAAGAGGCACTTTTTAAACACCTTGTTAATTTAAAATCAAGTATAAAACGTTTTTTAAAACAATTTGATGTTTCAAATGGGCATAAATTGCTTGTATGTCTCTCTACTTTGTTACATACAAAATTTTTCACCCAGCTTAAAAAATGAAAACATCAAAAAACTCATATTGCTTATAATCACTACAAACGTTAAGATGACAGCTTTAAGTAGAAGAGTACTGCAAAGGTGTCTTTACTAAAATTAAAGCTCCAGGCTTTGTTCCAATTCTCAACACAGCAAACAAACTTACTGCCTGATGGCAAACATGCATTTCATTGCTAAAACAAAAGCTTTAAAATAAACCGCAGTGCACAATTTCAAAATTATTTGAAGACCTCATGAATGCTGGTACCACAGGTGATTTACTGATTTATTTATTTTTTTGGTATATGGGTTGTTTTTTTTAATAAAACCTCCCCATCCTGCCAGAATACTGTTACACAGAAGAAAAAAAAAAAAAAGCTGCTGTCAGTCTTTCAGATACAGTAAAAAAACCTCAACATGTAAGTGTTTTAGAGCAAGTAATCAATCTGCAAAATGTTATACATCAGTAATAAGGCATCCACTTTACAGCTGTTTAAACAAAAAAAAGAGAAATATTTCCCAAAATATGTATTTTGGATCTGTGTAAACAAAGCTTATACGTATTGCTTCCATTCATTTCAAAAATATACACCCACATGGACTGAAAGTGATCTTTCTGCTATGTTCTAAATTACTGTAATTTATCCAAATGTAATCTGAAGATACAAAACCCAAATATTTTTGAACATAGTATTTTGAAGTATGCAAAAAAATTTAATTATTCTTATGTGAAAAGAAAGCCAAAAATATACCCTAAATTTGATGCCATTTCATTGAATGAAGAAGAAAGTACTACGAAAATAAACATTCATCTGGTTTCCTAACAATAAATATAAAGACAGTTATTATAACATACTGCAACACAGGAAGTATTACTATATTGACCTTAATGTTCAATCAGTAGTTTTTAAATCTTTCCTCATTGAGGCTTGAATCTTCTACCTTGTCAGCTGTCCAACAACTTTTAAGAGGGTTTTATTTTCTTGCTTCAATTGTTCATTTTCATCTTCTATATCATCTAGGTCCTGTGAAAGGAAAAAGACATGTTTCTCATAAATACAATCTCTACCTTAGTAGCAGCATGAATTTAACATCTTAGCTCTGAAATGAAGAAGTTTGGGTTAGGAAGAATTAGTGTCACGGTAGCTACCCTTGTATCTGTTGAACTAGCCTTTCCCAAGTGTTACTGCAATTACAAAACAGTAATATTATACTTCTATGTAGAAGCACATTTTAATTGAAACATATATTCAAACTAAAGCTACAGCAGGCATTCATGCATTAGAAACCAAAATAGCAGAGCGGTGATTACTGGCATATAGAGAGTGTATTGGTCAGCTCTTGACTCTGGTCACCAGACTGCCTGTCTGCAACTATCCTGCTAACATACACACATCACTGGTTATTATTGCAAGAAGATCTGTTTTGTGCTTTAAACTGACTATCAACATTTTCAGAAAAAGTACTGCCTATTCTTTTTTCTTTTCTGTGAAAAAAAAATGAAAAGGCATTTTGCAACTTCTATCTAAACTGCTACTGAAAAAAGAAAAGCAAACACACACAGTCATAATGGGTCCTTAAAATAGATTGCTCACACCTCAAGTGTTCATCACTCTTTCACCAGTTACCACATTTACCCAGTTCCCATTTCACTTTTTTCCTACCAAGTATCTTCAAGCCTTTAAAATGAAAAACAGTGAAATCAGCTGTTTTAATATAAGCATTACTCCAGTAAAAACACTTTTACTGAAAAAAAAAACAAACAACATGGAAGAAACAGAATGAGAATGAAAACATGACATAACAGAAGAGTGACCCAAAGGACAGCCCTTCTAGGCAGAAAGTGAAAGGCGGGCAAAGGAGGATGAACCAGGATTCTCATCAGAGATTTCAGACGCCTTTTCACTGAAGTCTAAAAAACCCTACCGTAGCCATGCTAGATTAAGCATAAAACAGTAGCAGAGAAAAGATTTGTTCCCTTTAAGTTGTTGAGTGGTGTTTGACACATGGAGCTTATTTTCATATTTCTTTTTAATGGGGTCATTCCAGAAGAGCATGCTAGAGATGTTGTGCTTAATTGGCTAATTATTTTTAAAAGCCTCTTCAGTTTGCCAAGCCAAAATCCGTATCACAATACTTTTGCAATTACTTTTGTAATATGGAAACAAGAAATCACTAGCTGAAATTCCTCCTTGCCTCAGAGAAGTACGAATCACAGTACGAATGAATTCCAGGGAAAGCATTTGACCACTCCAACATAACAGATACAAGTTACTTAAATATCTAAACATGAAAAGTTTTGATGGATAGCTACTATAAATGCAGTTTATGGCGTAACAGTAAGAAACACACTTTGTTTCCTCTCCTGTGCAGTTTCGACCAATAATCAGATGGGAGGAATAACACTCCTTCAATAAAATGGTATTTTTTTAGCTCAGTATCTGTAACACTGTGTTTGGACTGCTTTCAACCTAGCCATTAGACGCCTCAATTAAAAGCTTACCTAAAAGCCTTCTGTTTAATATACCTGTAATTTACTCAAATTAAAATATAAAAAGTTTGGAAATGTTTATGCTACAAAAATAACATTCCAAAGATTACTACAAGTAGGAATTTCTTGAACATGAGCCAGGAAAAATAACTACTGCAGTTTAAATATCTACAGAAATAATGGACCAAGAGATGTAGGTGGTTTTTTTTTGCCACTCTGAAATCTAAAGCTTCTTATTCAAAATTACAACACTAATTCATGCGTATTAGTAAAAACAATGCAGTATCAAGAAAGCTTGGACTTCACATACCAAAGGAACAGATAACTACACAAGTGACACTAATAGGACTGTAAATCTTCTCTGACAGACTCTCTACAAACATACATTTAACTACAATGACATGTTAGTGAGGTCAGAGATGACCAAGTGTAAACTAATCAACAGTTGAACTTAGCCTACAAATATTAAAATGTCTCAAGATGCCTTTCTCTTCAGGCACTTGAGGGTTTTATGGAGCAGTTACTCTTTCTTACAAAAAAAGTGGCAGACATACTTAAAGAACACGAGCTGCATTTTTATTGAGAAATAGAAAAGGCTTTCTGCAATAAATGGCATTCTTTCACTCCCAGCACTTTAGCCACTAAAAGTATCTTTGTGATGTATTTACTGATCTCAATAAAATTATATCGCTATATTAAAAAAAACATATTTACTTAAAAAGAGATAAAGTCTGCAAAAAATTGTCAGGATTTTTGGAAAAACAGATTTTCAAGTGTAACATGAGATCTTTGCCAACCAAGCATGCATACATGGCATGAACCCACTGAAACTTCTAGAAAGAGGATTTATTTAAACATGAGGGCTGAGCAGTAAGAACACTATGAAATAAAATGGCATTTTAGGAGGTTATTTAGATGCTTTAACGTGAAATTCTTTCCATATTTGTGCAACTTAGCATGCAGTAACTGTGCATTTTGATGGATAGAAAAGATGGAGAAATACAATGAATGTGTAGATGGTCAAATTTAGAGTCCACTATTTAGGTTGTCTAGCAGCAAAACTTTTTAAAAAGTTCTCTGCATAAACTCCTGAAGTTTAGTCCTCAGGACATTATTTTATCTAAGCAGAAGGCTGAAGATCACAACTGTTCTTCCATGCAAAGCATCCAGCCTCAGTGCCAGGTCTATACAGTAACAGTTCCACAAAGAAACTAAGGGACGTCCAAAGTGCTGGCTCTCATGATCTCAGTTATGATAATAAACTTTAGGCAAATATAACTGTCCTATTAACTTCCATATCCTTTTATCATGGGAATGATGCAGTATTTCTGTAGCTTCTCTTAACAGTCTTAATATTCTAAATTACTCTTTCTAAATCCACATGGATAGCCAATATAGCAGCAATCATAAATCCAAGAGCTGTTAAAAAAGAAAGTAAAACTGCATCTGTTTTAATGGAAGCATCACTTGAGACATGGGTTTAAACTTCTGTAAGAAGACAAAGTATTATGCTGGTCATAAAGTCAAAAGGCAGTTATGTCATCATTAAGAAAAGCCCAAGGGATTCAAACACAAATAGTCTGCACTGCAATTAAGCTAACAGACAATGTTATAGCTATGATAAATGCTGACCTGATGGAGAAAGAAAACAAAGATTGTCTTCTGTGTTTAAAGACGCTAACTAGGGAGAACCAATAAAATGGCTTTACAGATGTCATGGAAAGGTACCATTTTAGTAATTGTAGAATACTGAGGTTTTTGAAAATACTGTATTCTGTTTCATGTTTTCTTTCCACACAATAAGCAGAAATTGCCATCATATATAACACGGGCAAGAAACAAGCACTGCTTGACTTTACTACAGATGTTCCAAGATGGTTTCTAGTCAGGCACTCGATAGATTTTAATTAGGACATCATACTTCAAATATAGTAGAACAAAATAACCCTGTTTCTTGAAAAGCAAACCTCATAAACAGTTGTGGTCCTAAACACAAGCTTACAGTGATTGACGTTCTTTTGATTTGTACTTTCCGACCTCTGGATCAGGAAGTCAGGTGTGACCAGGAGTATTAAGTAGCTTCATCATCCATTATGTAGATGGAATGAACACTTGCCTTGACTGTAATAAGGTCATCAGCTTAGATGTGACAGATTCTTTGCAGAATGGAAGAATAGCATGAAGACCAATTCCTCAATTAAAACAGAAATCTCTCCAAAAACATACTTCATTTATCCTACAAATTAACTTCCAAATTTATTAAAAAAAAAAAAAAAAATCAGTTGCAGAATAACCTCATATCCTTTTGTGGTCTAGATTAGTTCATAAACTTGTGAATGCTGTCATCCTTTGTTACAAATAAATAGCAGAAAAATAAAGTTTGCCAGTATGCACACAAAGTATTATTGCTCCTCTTCACTGCTGGATTGAACAAAGTCACTTCTGAAATTTTTTTCTGAAGTTTTACAGGAATGTCTTCACTAGACTAGTAGAGGCCTATTTCTCTAGTACATCTAGGCTCTGCACCTCTGCCAGGAATTTCAAGATGAAGGCACTAATCCACCCTATGGAAGAGTCTGCCCTTAAAACTGGAACTTGTTAAAATGGGTATCTTCTATCAACTCTACAACTTCTTATCCTATCCCATTCGCTAGCACATCTCAATCTTCTATCCACTCTTCTCCAGCCCACCCATCCTGTGTGAGTGATGCTGGCCCAAGTCCTCCTGCCCTAAGTCTTGTTACATGGAAATCAACAATAGAGAGTATCAAAGTATGTGTCAGAATATAAAGCACTTACTCCTAAATCTATCTGAACTATTACTAGTAATTAAAAGCTGACTAAAATGAAATGAAATGTATAATTATTTTGTCTGACTAAAGTAACAATTTACTAAAAAAACTGATAAAACTCCAAGTTAATTATTTCCTGGAATACTACATTCTGAATTTGGAAAGAACAGGCAGTAAAGAACTCTTGCTTTTATGACCCTGTTCTACAAACACTTACAGCAACAAAAAATTCAGGTACTCCAGTAGCACACAACTTATGAGAGTTAACCATGACAAACAGAAGCCACCTGGAAAAAATACAACTTATTGACATGCCTCTTGACAAGTTGCACAAATACAAAAAATAAACCACATGTAATTATCTTCTGAGCCTGCCCAGTGGATGCGAGTGCATGAAAAGCATAGAGAATACAGGGACTTTAATCCCCCCTTTATATAGCAACATGTAAGAAAGTCTGTGCTTACTCTGTTTAATAAATCAATTTCTTCCTTCAGCTTTCCAATTAGTTCCTCCTTGTCCTGTGTCATCTTCATTAACCTCACATTTTCCTGTCTCTCCTTTGCAAGTTCCTAAAACCAGAATATACAATGAAGTATGATATGTAGTTTTTGGTTTTAAGAAACAGTTTTACATTATTACCATTTAAAACAAACACAGAAGAAAAACACACACTTACCAAGAATTCTTTTTCTACAGCAAGTCTAACCCACATATTCAAGCCCTTACATTTCAAGGAGCTAAAGAAAGACATCTGAGCAAAAATTTTACCCACAGCAAACCTGTGTGGTATGTCTGATTCCAGAGATAATGTTGTAATTAACATTTAACTTAAGCATGAACCCCAAATTGGACAGAGGCCCAGAAGAGAAGTAAGTAAATGCAAAGTATAAGCTTCCAAAATTGTTACATTAGAAGAGTTAGTCTTTTTTTCTTTTCTCGGGGCAGGGCAAAGGCAGGTAATACTATCATTAACAACGAAAGAAGACTCGCTGTTAGATCTGTGGGCCTAAATGTGAGAAAAAATTAAAGCATCCATTAGGAATTCAGTAAATCAGGCTTCAGGACACTGGAAGAAAGCCCTTAAGTCTTCCTCTATTTTCTGTGTTACCGGCAGTTAGAATATTTCAGAAAGGAGCTTATTTGAAAGGAAGGATTATGATATGCTTCGCTCAAACCAGGCTTACCCAACTGTTAAAAAAATGTAATTTATACAAAATATCCTTCTCAAAAAAAATCTATTTGAATCGTGCTTACTTAGTAACTTTCATCCATATGATTCAAGAATATTTGGCAAGTTACTCATAAAAATCCACTTCAGAGGAAGACAGAGAAGCCAGTAATAGGTTACACAGATGACACTATTTAGCACAATGCAGTTTTATGTGAAAAACTCAGCTATACCATTGTTGTATTTTCCAAAAACTGTCTGTATTAAGAATATCTGAAATAAGGAAAACTTTGTTTTGAATATTTGCTTTAAATATTTAAAACTTTGACAAACAGCTGGATAGCAATTAAATTGTATAATATTTCAGTACATTAAAAAATTCAAAACAAGAAGTAGATCAGAAACAGGCTTACTCATTTTCTGAACAGCTAGCAAGCCCTTCCTTCCCCCAAGTTATCTGCCCCGTGTTGGTGTGTCACAAGGTGCACATAAGATAGATGCAGAGCACTGCTGGCTTCATAAGTGTTTGATCTTTACCTCAACTATTTCTCACTTATGTACCAAGTGACAACTAAACATCTGGATTAGAACATTCACATTCTTCTCAGTCAGTCTGACTCTTTATACATTTTTATAGACATAACTATCTGTGCTTCAAGCATGTAGCATAATTTCTGTATCTTTTACTTGTAAATTTCCCCAGGGAATTTCAAGGGTACTTTATGTAAGATGCATGCCATGCAGATGTTAGTTGGTACCTACCCTTTCAAGTTCCTCGATCCTCTTTTCCAACGCGTTATTTGGTACAGAACTGCCAGAAGAATTTGCATCCCTGCTGTATCTGCTGTAAGTTGTCCTGTCTGTTCGGGGGTATCTATTTGGAGCATCATCTTCTGGTGCATTAGCAGTGCTACAAAGGCAAGGAGCAAAGCATATTTTTTTATATATTTATATTTGTATAAATATTTATTATACTTATATATTTATACACATATTTATTATAAATTATTTAATTTATATTTAAACATTTAACAAATTAAAATTATAAAAGTAACAAGAAGTGCTTTCCAAAGCAGTCAATCAGTCAGTCTAATATTAACTGCAGAGAATTTATTTCACAGCTCTTGTGTTACTGAGAACTTACTGAATTCACTGCCTCAGGGAACCAAATATTTGGGTAATGTAGTCCTCATCACATAGATAGTCAAGTTTAAACACATACTCTTCCTTTCTTGTTTTTAAAGATTCAAAAGTTTTATGTACTGCGTACATTAAAACCCAGAGGCCTACAGGAAAGCTGGGGAGGGGCTTTTCACTAGAGTGATAGGACAAGAGGTAATGGTTTTAAACTGGAAGAGGGGAGATTTAGATTAGAAATTCTTCACCATGAGGATAAGGCACTGGAATAGGTTGCCCAGGGAGGCTGTGGAAGCCCCCTCCCTGCAGGTGTTTACAGCCAGCATGGATGAGACTATTGCAGCCTGGTCTAGTGTGAGGTGTCCTTGCTCATAGCAGGGAGGTTGGAACCTGATGATCTCTAAGGTCCCTTTCAATCTTAACCATTTTATGACTCTATTATTTTAAAAACCAAAGTACCACAACAAGAGTTTAAACCAAGCATCTTGCTAATTACAAGAAAACACAAAGGATAAAAAACAAGTACATGTCCAGAATGTAAGAAGCTTACAAGTATCAACTGACTTTTCAGGAATTATGACATATAAAGAAATGGAAAGCAAACTAAAATGAAAAAGTTACACAGCCCAACAGATTAATTTTATGCTATTTTCAAATATTTTACTTCAGAACTTGGATACGTAGCAGTTTGTTATAGCTCCTTTTATAGACACTGGTGGTATGCTTTTTTTTTTGGATCTATTCCTTAAAAATCACTGTCATGGAATCTCAAAAGGTAAGCATTGCAAAAGCAGAAAAGCTAGTTTTAAAAAAGCATCATGATTGCTATGTATAAAAAAAAGTGCTAATTTAAATATGAGAAGTCAAGCATTTTCCAAGTCACAAATGTATCAGTGTTCCTCCGATAGCTATTTTATTCCTAATAGCAATGATTGAATCTTGATGTAGAATCTAATGAATAATTAAGAGCAGCAGAACAGAGTGCCCTGGGACCAGGCAGAGAGAGACAGGTATTCTCCTCCTCAATCCACAAAACCCACATTTCTTAAACTTTGAAAATATACAGATAAAGAGTCAAAGATTTTTTTAAAAAAACACAAACCAAAACAACAACCCTTGTTCAGTCTTCACCAGGAGAACTCAAATGGATATACTCAAAAGCCATCTGGAAATGGTCCTGGGCAACCAGCTCTAGGTGGCCCTGCTTGAGCAAGGGGGTGGTTGGACAAGACACCCTCCAGAGGTCCCTTCTAACCTCAACCAGTCTGTGATTCTGTGACACCGCACAGCTGAAGTATGTATACAGTGGTTTTCTACAGCACTAAAGAAAAGAATGAAAAGCACTTCCTTTAAAACTTAGATGTGTATATGATTAATGTATTCATTTAACAGTTTTACATTTCATAACTCTAGAAAACAATTCTGCAGACTATGTGCAAATCTAGATGGATACGGTGCAAATCAAAAGCAGGAGTATCTGGCAAAAGGATGTCTTTTCATGGATATAAATATTGCTTTCCTCCAGTATGTGTGAAGTTTCCAAGGCACACTGACACAATTGTAAGGAATTTTGTGGCTTAATGTTATTACCATATTTAGCACTGTTTATTCTTCATCTAGAAGATTTTTTTAAAAAACATTTATAGACCGGATACGCATGTTGCAACACAACATAAGAGAAATATTTTAGCTTAACTCTATAAAGTCTAGATTATTTAGCTTTCTGAAAGGTATGATTTTTCATGCTATTGAAGGTCTCAAGGATAGACCACACAAAAAATGCTCAATTTTTCAGCACTCAAAAAAGAACCCTTTTCCCCAACATATTGGATTATCAGCTTAGCTCCAGTAAGTGATATTGGCAGATGCTCCACCAGGAAAATTAGAAGACAGAATACCTAGATAGGACAGGTTGTATTAATACTGAAAATTTTAATACTGAAAATTTCCTGTATTTTCCCTAAAACTCACACTCAAAAATTTCCTCGTCTATTCCACTGGGGAGCAGAATCTACCGAACACATTCCTTCTCAGTACCATCAAGTACAAGGACATACCATGAAGACTTTAGGAAAAGGGATTTTAAAATAAACCATTCAAGGAGGCATCAGTATGGAACATAACAGAAGGAATGCATCAGATACAAAGTTAATTATTTTGGCTGTTATAACCAATGTCCAACACACGGCAACAACAAAAAAGTTACCATCTGAGACACAGTGATACATCATTGGGAATTAATGGAATTTTAGCCTTCAGATGCAATGTCACTTTGTGAGCCTTATGCAAGGAAGAAAACTTATCTAGAATAGTATCACTGAACATGGTGCCTATGCTTTACTAAGAAAAAATACCTCTCAACCAGGCCTAGAAAAGATATTTCTATGGAAATAAACCTATATATTTGAATATATATAAAACCCAGTTTATAAATATGTAACAACACTACTGCTAGTAGTAATGATAATAATAATTTGTCTAAACTGAAGAGCTTTCTATACTACTAAGAAAACAAATTTGGTTTATGCCTTTTTTTGGGGGAGTGAGGGGAAAGTGCATGCATCTGGCAGCAGAACCCATCTAGTTTGAGACTGCAACTGAAACTTTGCTTCCTTGGCTTCACAGCTGAATAAAGGCTTACTAATACTTGCAAGTTGCTGGAATCTCACAAAAGGCATGAAAGAACACCAACTGTCAATAAATGTACATTGGGTAAAACCAGTCATTAACACAAGCTGAAAAAAGATGAGGGGTCTGCAGGAATAGGGATCTGCTCAAAAAGGCAGTTCAAAATGCATTCCACTTCTTAGCATTTGAGGAACTGTGCAGATATGAACACTTAGGATAGAACTTAATGCACATGATTGTTTCAACACTTGCATTTGAAACACCTAAACACAGGGTATGGCAGCAGGAAGTAGTATTTTTTAAAATTATTTTTCAATAAGAGTATCTGAAATTGTATTTGTGGCCATATGTACACTGGATTAGAATGTGTACCTGTAGAACAGCAATCAGAGTACCCAGATGAGAATCCATCTGGATAGAACATACCTCACTACTGCTTCAAAAGGGAAAATTTGACAAGATGCTTCTCAAAATTCAACTTCTTTTTCCATTAGGTTACTATTAGCCACTATCAACACCTAATTTTAAATGTGTATTCTTGTACTAGAATACTGAAAACAGAGAATACTTTTGCAACTTATGAAGACTTGCTTTGAAAGTTTTTTCTGGCTGTACTTATGAAAAACATCGCAGTTTGACCACCCTTACACAGAAACACAAGGATTATATTCTAGTAATTTTCTTTAAAATAAAATAAGTTATTTACACAGGGGAAGGTTTAACTGCCATATTACAGAAAGGTGGAATAAATCTTGCTTCTTCCAATATGTCTTTAGTTCTTTCAATGTTTTCCTGAAGCACTGTCCAAACTGCAATTTCATCCAATTAAAATCACCCAGTCAAAACCAGATTTCATCTATTTCAACTACAACACATTTCTTTTTATTGCCAGAATCATGTAACTATATTTGATTTGGAAACTCCTAACTAATTATGTCACTGAAATCCAGCCAGCTGTCAACAGCTTCTTCGGAAGAATGAGCAAAAGATTATTTCTAAACTGGCCACCTTGGAATTTTGTTACTTCAGGTGGTTTAAGCCAAGTCCATGCTTTTGGAGCTGGGCTAAGGAAAGCCAGTCTTCTCTACAACTGCACATTCCTAGTTTCATCCACTTTTCCTGGCTCTGGCCTTCAGGTGACTGTGTAGGAAACCATTTAAGGAGCTGATGCAGCAACCCAGCAGCCCACCAAAGGAAGAGATTGACTTTCTCAGCCACAGCGGCTCCCTAGACCTCCCTGTCCTAGTGGCTCCCTGTCCAGCTGCACTGGCTCAAGGGACAGTGAGAAACTGCAGCCAACTCAGCTTAGACCATCAAAAAATTCTGCAGATAAACCCTAAGTGTTTCTGCTCTATCATAACATCAGCATTGGCTGAAAAGGTCAAGAAAAGCACCTTGAATCATCTTGGTCTATCTCTGGTGTTCATAGCTGCACAGTAGTTATCCTAATGTAACAAGTTGGACATGATAGTGCTTCAACAGCCACCCCTCACTGCAGAATTCCCAAACATGGGTAAACAGGAAAGTCTGGGCATAGCATTATAAAATAGTATTTCACAGCTGCATTTTTTTTAATTAGTGAGACCAAGGTGAGTATGATGGAATGCAAATTGTTATGGCTTAAGCTTTGTAGTAATCTAAGAACACCGAATATGAGAATTTCAGCATGGTTTTAACATTTCCTTCACAGAACTTCCAAGGAGTACTCTGAAGCACCAGCTTCTTCTCTTGCAATCTCTTCTTCCTCATTTGTTTTTCAGCTCTTGCATGAATGTTAAACTTGAGTAAAACATGGCCTTTTAGAACTAGTGTGTAAGGGTCTCTGTCTATTGGGTTCCATGTTAGTGTGCCATGCAATACTAAAAGAAGGGGATAAAACCCTCCGACATTTTGTCTGGAAGTCGTAAGCGGCTTAAGCTTTGTAGTAATCTAAGAACCCTCCGACATTTTGTCTGGAAGTCGTAAGACCACCCCATATTGTATTCATTTCCCTTAATAAACAAACTGATAAGGGAAACACACCTCTGAACCACTAAGAGATTAATCCAACTCTTTCTGAAAACTGATCCGGCCTGATCTGTCTCATCCATGAACTATGCAAAAGTCTTCTGAGTGATTTTAAATCCTGATTTGCAAGGTTTTCTTTCCAACTTAAAACCTTTTTTAGAAAGAAGCTAAATTGGTTCAAAAGCTAGGAAAATGTCTTAAAAATAAGTTGCTAAAACAAATTCTCTGTACTTATAGAAATTTTCCTATATCCACATACATATCTTGCTATACAGTTACTTGCAAACAAACTTTTTAGTTCACAGAATGCAAGAGAAATATAACTCATTTTTTACATGTAGATTACACACCAGTATTTTAATAAACAATACACTTTTGTCATTCTCTTGTCTGAGAAATCAGTGATGACACCAATTATGCTGGCAGCATCGCACCTGAATCTGGAAACCACTTCCTAATGGCAAAGTGCTTGTTGTTTTAATGTAACTACTCACGGAGCAGCAGAAAAACTGGCAGACCCAGTTAACAGTAACAGAAGTTTGAAATGGGCTAGAGGAGGCTGATCAAAGGAAGAAAATCTTAGGAAGCAATGAAAGATAAGGAAGTTCATATGGGCTATTACCACTGAAGGATACCTACACATTTTAATCACATGAATGTCACAGTCAGGACAGGTGGCTGGTCACAACTCCCAAATATGCTCATGAACACGTCCTATGGCCTTCACGTCAGCATCTCATAAGAGATCTTACAGTACCACTCCAGATCACAACAGAACCATCAATTTATTTTTATTATCTTTTACGTTGATAACCATGCAACTACAAAGGAACATATAACACAAACTTTTGGAGTGTAGGCATGAAATTTTTTTAAGCAAATTCAGAAGACAGACTAAAAGGATAGATTAAGATCCTCATTCCAAACTTTTATTTATTTATTGCATAAAGAGACAGGCTCAGTTTGTCCAAGTCAGCCAGAACAGAAGTAGAATAACACAACAGCAGCCAGCAGACTTCATTTCTAAACATGTCTTCCAGTCAATAGGCACTCAGTGAAAAGGGCTTCTCAGCAATGTCATATAAATGTTTAACTATGGATTGCTGCATCCATATAAGGCAAAGTAGCCAGTCAGTCTGACTAAAGAGGTAGTAAAATCCATGCAATTCCTTGAGCCCTGGAACACAGTGAGTGAACAGCAATTCCATGAGCCAACTGGCTGGGTATCTCAATGTAGACATGGAAACCGCTATATAGGAGGGGAAAGAGAACAAACTGGAAGCCCAGGATGGTATAATTGACCCAGAACTACGAGTCAGAAGAGAACAGAGAAACAGGGAAAAAAAACAAAGACAAAAAAAATATCAAAGAGAAAGAAGACTAGGACCTCAATGGTTAAACACAAGAATGGACAAGAAAGTGAAAAAGGTGTCTAACTGGGATAGGAAACAGAAACCAGTGAAATGAAGAAAAATGCTCAGGTGAAGCAATTTCTGCTGTGATGACAAACAACTGGAGAAGAGGAAGAAAGCAAAAGATAAGGAGCAGGAGTAGTAAAGATGGAAGGAAATGACCGGACAATTTCTGACAGACAACGCATTCTTCCTGGAGCAGGGAGTCTAATAACAGAGTTCAAGAATTTAGGCAAACATTGTCTTTTCACTTTTGCTGTCATAAGTCCGCAAAGTTTACTAACAGTCTCTTTTCCCCACCCACAAAGTACTGACCATCTGTTGTCACAGTAGCACAAATAATTGCTTCAAATGAGATCTCCAAGAGGTTGTCCCTACGTGAGAACGTGCCTTGCTCTCAATTTCTGTGAAAGATTAAGGGAATATATCCAAAACTGTTAAAAGCACATTAAGTTGAATATATTTGAGCCTTCCAGCAGCTTACTGTCTCAATTCAGTCTTTCAACATTCACAACCCAGTACTAGGTGTAATCACAGAATGGTATTTTCAGTCTTCCAGAGGACTTCTGCTGTATTTGGGACATAAGTGAGATCTACACCAGAATGATTGAGAATTACTGCAGAGGAGGCTGTTTTCTCTACGACCTTCCCTTATTGCAGATGTTGGATGGGGCAAATGAGCCAAACATTACTAGAATAGAAGAGGACTCCGGTCCCAAATCCTTCCTTTAGTGTTCACTCCTAAAAGCAAAGCCACTAGGAACCATACTTTGTTCAACAACTCTTACCTGAAAAACTACTTGAGAAGAAGGCGGATGTTGTCAAACACAGAGGAAAACCAGTAGATACTGTTAACTCTTATCATAGTGGGCACTGAGTCTCTACCTGTAAAATATCAGCCTTCCTGCTATTTGTGAGTACTAGGTACTGTGCTGAACTCACAGGAAAAACAATCCTTTGTTTTCAACATGAGGTTTGAAGACTGAACAATAAATAAGACAGATGGCAACATATGTAAGAAAATATTGAACAGCAGCTCACAGCAAGTCAGGTTCCTCCTGAATGCAATGCCAGTTCTGAGGAGGAAAGTTCACAAAGAAATATAGTACATCCTACATTTAACTAAAGCTGACTGAACAAAGACTATACAAACAAGACTTATTGTAATATTTTCTAGCTTTGGAGTTCCCTATTTTTTCAGTTGCCTATTTATATTTTTCAAATAAGCTACAAATGTGATCGTGCAAACTTCTATTTATGACCACCCCACACACAACCAAGTTTTGCAAGTGAGTGAGGATACAGCATGCAGAATAAAGATAAGGTTTATTAAAGTCACAAAGCACTGTGACACACACCACTAAGTATTTGGCAGATACATTTAGTTACAAAAATCTGCACGGGGACTGAAGAGGAAGTAGAGACTGAACTAAAATGCATTTGATTCATAAGAAAGTAATAATGAAAGTATACAGGTATTGAGGTTGAGACAAGTCCACCCATTTTGCAAAGACAAAGTAAATAAGAAAAACAAACCCTGCAGCAATAAAAACATCACTCAGCTAAATTTATGAGAACCCAGGAATATAAATATAGAAGACAGCACCATGTTAAAAAAAATCTAAAGCTTAAAAGGAACCTAAGGGTGATGAGACACTAGAACAGGTTGCCCAAAGAAGCTGCGGATGCTCCGTTATTGAAAGTGTTCAAGGCCAGAATGGATGGGGCTTTGAACAACCTAATTTTGTAAAAGATGTCCTCACCCATGGCAGAGGGATTGAACTAAATGTTCCTGAAGGTCCCTTCCAACCCAAAACATTCTATGATTATATAGGTGAACATGTCTGAGGGCTGTTCCTTGCACTTACTTCTACACCCAGGATACATATACACAGAGTAAAAGATATCTAAAAGAGAATACACTGATGTGCCAAAAATATATTTACACAAATGTCTTGCTTCAGTTCATGTATTTTAGACCCCATGCTACCATAACATTTTCCCACTAATTCTGAAAACTGTATCAATATTAATTCCACATGGGCAAAAATTTCACTTACTAGTTAGGTGCATAAAAAACTTATGAAATATTTTTCTGACTGAAGAACTTGAGTAATGTCCTGGTTAACTCCTGACTCAAAGACTAACAAATAATAAAGAGGACATATTACATACAGGCAGCATCCCCTACAACAGAGACAGCAGTATGACAAAACCATAAACATACATTTCAAATATTACTGTAGAGAGCAACACAATTCATATATTAAACTTCATAAATTAAGTGTGAAACTACTATCTGCTAGGTAATGTCTAGTCAAGTTAGACCATTTGCTTGGGAAACTGTTCTGGACTAGTAAGACCCATTAAAATATTAGCTGAATTTATTTTAAATTAGTAACCTAATAGAGCAGTTTGGATAAGTTTGCTTCATCTCTCTAGTACAAACACCCATTTAATCAGCTTTAATTCTAGCAGAACTAGGTATGTAAAGAAATGTTTTGTGTATAAAGATCTCATACCTTTTATACCTGCTTGAAACCATCCTGGAGGAGTCCTAGAAGAAACAAAAAGGAAAAAGTAATTAACCTTTTTTTTTGTATTTGTACTTCCACAATATTTTATCACTCCACAGAAAGTGAAGACTGCAGGTAAGAGCAGGAGGCCCACGCCTCAACCAAGGGCTGTGCAACTCTGCTTTGCACTATTTTGCTGTCAGGAATAGACAGAATACCAGGACTATTGTCACTATATTACTGTTTTTGAACATTACCTCAGAATCTTTCAACAGCTTCTAGTTAAATCTTAAGACTAGATGCACTTACTCTGTCCCCCAGCATCCAAAACGTGCAGCTTGCCAAAACAGAACACATCCTGCCACCAATATGCCTTCAGTATCACTACTAATACTGAGACAGAAATGCTTGCGCACTTTGATAGCTGTTCATCTACTTGTCCAAGAGCAGCAGAGCAGAACTGTTTCAATTCTTTGGTACCACTGCTGCTCTTCAGGACAGAACAAAAAATGAAGCCTCCAAGCCATATAGGGTTGAGATGCAAACCAATTTGTTATGTATCAGCTGGGTCATGGTAACTACAGATAACGCTCTTGATCATGCTAACCTGGGTGTTGCAACCTAGCTCACCACAGTTTCTCTCAGGCTAACTCAAGTGGTCTTCTCCTGGCCTCTGCTGATGAGTAGGTAGGCTAGAAGTCTGCACATGGATGATGCTTCCTGCATTCAAATATGACTTGTCAAGCTACAGTAAATCAACTTTTGATCCTTGCCTTCTAAGTACCTTCAGAGGCTTAATGCATTCTAATTACAAATTTAAAGAACACTCCCCATCTCCTTTGATTGTACTTTGGAAATTATCTTAACAACTAAAATAGTGAGATACAGAACATATTTTAAATAACAGTGCACATTTTAAATATTAGTTCAATGGTGCAAAAGCTATGCATCTGGCTCAATGTATCAAAGATACATGCAGGGATTACTCACAGATTACTAGTCTTATATTTCCTATCTTGAAGGAATTCATTTCTTTACTTTTCAGATTCCCACAATACAGTAAGAACATGTTTTCATTAAGATTATGGGGGTTTTGTTAAATTTGTTTTAATTTGAAAAAAATCATTATAGTTTTTTTTTTTAATCCTGGCTCTGTGAAGACAGAAATTGAAACATTGGGGAAAAGGGTTCATATACTGTTATACAATCCCTGAAAAAACATCAATGTGTTATGTACACATAACAAAACCTGAAACAACGTATTTGTATCAATAATGCTATGTTTGTAGCTTCCCAATACCAGTTTGATCACAGGAAAATTAAGACATGTTTCAACTGGTAAATGATGGCTCAGATTGTCTAGACAGAGTAAGTCCACAAATATTTTTGTTGTAAGAAGAACATGAACCCATTATTTTATTAGTCATAGACAAAGCTACCACCAGCATAAGCAAATAATAGGTAAAAAGTCAGGAAAGAATATTTAAGGACTTAATGAACAACTGCATTTACTGGAAAAAATAAGAATAGTATTTTATTACACAGAATAAAGTTGATAAAAATACAAGTTTTACAGAGACAAAACTTAATTGTAAAGTGCATTTGATTGGATGAGCATTTTCAACTTCTGCAGCATGCGCTACAGTTTGGCTAATATAAATAGAAGAGGAATATTCAACAAATTTAAGGGAATTATTTGAAGAAACCCACAGTGCTGTAGAATTGCTGTTCTCACACTGATAACTATTTTATCATTGATGACAGCCTCTGAAAAGTAGCAGTTCACAGCTAAGGAACAGCAACCTAATTTCACCTCTAAAAGGGCAAAGAAACAGAATTAGAAACGGTACCAATGCTATTTTTAAAGTTTACTAAGGGTACGTTATCTTTGAAAGGTCTCAACAGTAGGCAGAAGTTTCTGAGGACTAGAAGTAAAAATGTCATTCCTATCTTAAAGAAGGAAGATCTAGGGAACTACAGGCCAGTCCTTACCTCAGTCCTTGAGTAGGTGATGAAACAAACCCTGAAGGACCAGAGGATTAAATCAGCATGGATATAAGAAGGGGAAATCACGTCCGACTGACCTGAAAGCATTCTACATGGAAATAACTGGCTCTTTGGATGGAGAGCAGTTAATGCTTATCTTTTTAGCAAGGCCTTCAACGTATGTATACACAAAGCACTGAAATACAGACCAGGTAAGTGGATTGTGGGATGAATTTAAAAGTGACTGGACTACAAGGCTCAAAGGGATATAAACAGCAGCATGAAGTTCAGCTGGATGCCAGTCACTAGAAGGGTTTGATGCAGAGGTTTGTACTATTCAAAATCTTCACTAATGACCCAAGATGATGAGACAAAGTGCACCCTCAGCAAGTCTGAAGACAACACAAAACGTGGAGAAGCATTTAATAATACATCAGATGGCTGTGCTGCCACACAGAGGAACACTGCCAGGCATGAAAAAATGGTATAACAGACACTTCATGAAGTTCAAAAAAAGGGAAATGCAAGGTCTTGTATCTGGGGAGGGATACTCCCAAGTTCAACTACATGCTGTGGCCTGGTACCAGTACATGTTGTGGACCAGTTGAAAGCTGTTGTGCCGATAAGGACCTGGGGGTCCTGGTGGACATCAAGTTGAACATGAGCCATCAATATGCCCTTACAGCAAGGAAGGTCAATGGTATCCTCTGGATGTGTTGCCAGCACATCACGGGATGTGATCTTTCACTTCTGCTCAGCCCTGGTGAAATCACAGCTGGAGTATGGGTCTGGTTCTTGGCTTTTCAGTATAATACAGGCATACTGAAGAGACTTCAGTGAAGAGTCACACAGATGATTAAAGGTTTGGAGCATCTGACATATGAGGAGATGCTAAGAGTGCTGGGAATGTTCAGCCTGGAGAAGAGAATACTCAGGAGGTATCTTGCTGATGTGTATGAACACTTGATAGAGTAGAGAAGATTGAGCCATATTTCATTGTGCCCAAAAAACAGATGAGAGGCAATGGATAGAAATGGAAATACAGGAAGTTCAACTTATATTTAGTAAAACACTTTCTTACTGTGAGATTAAACACTGGAGCAGGTTGCCCAGAAAGGTTATGGAGTTTCTATACACAGAGGTAGTAACCCAACTGGCCACAGTCCTGCTTTGCACACAAGGGATGGCCTAGAGACTTCCTGAGATGCCTTCCAGCCTCAATGACTTCTGCTCTGCGTATCTTGATTTCTCCATCTGCATTCTTCTTTCAGCTTAGTAAGTTGAAGTGAACACATACCTAACATCTGGCAGCTTCAGAGGATCTCACGGTGCCCTCTAATATTGTTATCTAGGAAACTGCCTGCGTGAACTTTTACATACAGAGGACTGTAATGGTCTGATTTTTGCCTTTAAGACAGCCAGCAATAACTGACAAGGTGATTTGACTCCCACATATGTGAAGAGGTTCAAGTAGTTTCATCTAATAGGTTAAGAGGCATTTTCCCTGTCTATGAAAACTGAAATGCTGTATCAGCAATATCAGTCACACCTCTTGGTGGTGACAGTCTCAGAAATATCCTCGTTGTCCTATTAGCCAAAGACAAATGAATCAACTCTCTTTTAATGCTTGGATAGACAAAGAGAGACACAGAGGCAACTGGGTCAAAATTTTGCATAACTGTAGATACATCTTTTGCCAATGAAATATGAACTCTGGGCTCTAGGCTTCCTCAGTTCTTATTTTAAAGAACTTCTTTTTAGGAAAATTCTGAAGCCTGGAAGTTATGGCCATGCTTCCTGGAGAACATAAGGCTCTGTTTAGAGAGAAATGCAGAATTCACACGAAAAGGAGAATCTACACATGACACTGCAGCCTAGTGAAGCTCACATACCTTTATACAAAGAAATCTCTGAATCTTGGATGCTTGTTTTCTCTACTGTGGACATCAAAAGGATGCAATGTATGCATCATAAACCTCAAATTTGTTAATTTCATTTGCTTTTCATATAGTAAATGCAAATATAAGCTGTAAAGCAATGTATACACATAGACTTGTACATTTACTCAACAGGAGACTTCTAAAAGTTTAGCAGTACTAGTCAGAACAGCCAGTTCTTCAGAAAAAGAAAGCTGGGAAAGCAAACATATGCTCAGGGACAAAGTACATGGCAAACACTCCCATTTGCTAAAAATGACAGCTGTAAAAATGAAAAAAAACCAAGCCTAACCTGAAACATTAACTAGCCTTTTGTAACAGATATTTCTACTGCAAATATCAGTGGTTTTTATTTTTTGTATTTAAAACTATGAGCAAAAAGGTAAAAATACACATCTGATACATAAAACCAATCTTATCTGATAATCAAATTAATATTGTTGATTTGGTAAATGGTGACTTTTTTATTTTGGAATCTGTATCATAAATATAAACCATTCCTTGAGGTGATGATGCAAGCACCAGGGAAATATTATTTTTCTCTGTTCTCATGTTATAAAATTTGTGTGTTATTTATCCAAAAGTTTCTGAGAACAGGAATATATGTAGTTATACTATGAACAGCAAAATGTGTGTATTAATCAAAAATTAATCTATGCTTTTGAACCATTGAAAAGCTCTCACATAAGGAAAACACCTCTTATAATTTAAGGTTTTTTATCCTCCACAACGTTTGGAGAAAAGGTTGACAGAAAAAGAAGGGGAAGAAGAAAGGAGAAAGAGTCCTGTTCTGCAAAGAATTAACCTAAAAGATGATGATGAGGCATGTATATAAATACTAATTTACAAATTTCACTCATACTCTAATATTTTTAAGCTGAGTTTTAACTCATGCTTAAAATATCTAGTCATTACTATAAACATGCATTATTTGTCTAAGTAATTGTTAATGAGCAATGAAGAGATCAATTTATTTGACAATCTCCCTTTAAAAAATGAATTATCTTAAGTGTCCGTGGAAATCCTGAATGGAAAAGCAATCAGTAAAGAAGTCCACAACAATTATGCTAATGGTTTCCTTCATACTGCTGAAAAAATACTGCTGACAAAGACATCTA